GGATGTGGCACTGTGGGGACAGGGGACATGAGTGTGGGGATGGGCAGCAGGTGGACCTCCATGTCTCTTGAGTGATGCTGTGCCAGCTCCAGTACGAATGTGACACTGCCAGGGGACCTCCTTGTCCCTTGGGTCCCACAATGGCAGGTCCAGGGTGAACGTGGCACTAGGAGAACAAGGGAGGTCACGCTGGGGATGGAGGACTTCCACGTCTCTTGGGTACCACAGCAGCAACCCCAGGGTGGACATGGCACTAGTAGGATGGGGGACATCAGGGTGGAGGTGGGACACCAAGGGGACCTCCACACCCCCTGGGTGGCACAGTGGGGTGAACGTGGCACTGTGAGGACAGAGGACATCAAGGTGGGGACAGGGACCCTCCACATGTCATGGGTGCCACCATGCCAGGTCCTCGGTGAACATGGCACAAGCAGGATGGGGGACAACAGGATGGAGTTGAGACTCTCAAGGGGACCTGCATGTCCCCTGGGCGCTACAGTGCCAGGTCTGGGGTGAACATAGTACTGCTGGGACACAGGGGACATCCAGATGGGGACAGTCCCCGGGGCACTAGCAGCGTGTCAAACCCTCTGTGACACCCCGGTGCTGTGTCCCACAGCCAGGCAGCAGGACCTGATGATGCTGGATGGCTTCATGATGTACCTGCTCTCATCTGCCGGTGACATCCTCAACCAGGAGCACACCAAGGTGCACCAGGACATGAGCCACCCCCTGTGCCACTACTTCATCTCCTCCTCCCACAACACCTACCTGACCCGCAACCAGATTGGTGGCACCAGCAGCACTGAAGCCTACGTCAGGTGGGTGCCCTTGGCCAGATGCTCCATGGCCACCAGGACACCATGGTCCTGGGGCTTGAGGGGCCACCAGGACACCATGGTCCTGGGGTTTGAGGGGTCACCAGGACATCATAGTCCTGTGGTTCGAGGGGCCACCAGGACACCATGGTCCTGTGGTTTGAGGGGCCACCAGGACACCATGGTCCTGGGGTTTGAGGGGCCACCAGGACACCATGGTCCTGGGGCTTGAGGGGCCACCAGGACACCATGGTCCTGGGGTTTGAGGGGCCACCAGGACACCATGGTCCTGGGGCTTGAGGGGCCACCAGGACACCATGGTCCTGGGGTTTGAGGGGCCACCAGGACACCATGGTCCTGGGGCTTGAGGGGCCACCAGGACACCATGGTCCTGGGGTTTGAGGGGCCACCAGGACACCATGGTCCTGGGGCTTGAGGGAGTGGCTCAGGGACTCATCGGGTGACGCTGCGGTGACAGGGCGCTGATGGCTGGATGCCGTTGCGTGGAGCTGGACTGCTGGGAGGGCTCTGATGGAGAACCTGTTGTCTACCATGGCCACACGCTCACCTCCAAAATCCTCTTCCGTGATGTCATTGAGAGCATCCGTGACTACGCCTTCAAGGTGAGCCGGGTGCTGATGGCCCTGGGATGGGTGCTGCGTGCTGGGGGATGGGTGCTGGGGGGGG